GTCGGGATTTAAACCTATCCGCCAGCCCGACCCGACCCCCCATCGGAGGAGAAACGCTCGGTATGTGCCATCACCGCATTGCGACGTGCGTAACATTTCCAGTGTGTTTGTAATGTAATGGTAAGAACAGGGGGGCAATAACAGATCCCTGCCTGCGATGGAGAACCAAAACAAACTCACTTTTAAATGCCAGGTATTGTAATGCTCACACAAAATGGTTTCATTGAAGGGTTCGTCAAATACATTGCTCAGAAGGTTGAGAATGTGAGAGTTATATGTCCAATGAAAATATCATTGAAATAACTTAATACATTTACCTTCATTAGTGAGTGCAATGGCTTAAGTGTACACATATGTTCTGCAGCATGGTTAAACATGGAAGATCTCCACCAGTATGGTTTTCGGTCTGTTAGAAACATACCGTTCTCGTGGCATTCAGAATGGTAAATGTATGTGCGCTGCCTCACTTCAGGCTTTCTTCCATCAGTGCCATGTTACGTCGTAACATGAAATATTGTTCAAATTGGCGTTCAAGCCAAACCACTGACTCACTCACCAAACGCACGGAAACGAGTGTAACAGAATTGGGTATGTGAGTTTGATCTACCGCCGCTTTAATTGATCAGAAACAACCTTGTAAGGGAAACATCAAGCGGCCAAGACCGTTGTCTTTCATTAAAGCTCTGAAGATGATTCTGAATGATGCAAGTAATGAGAAAGAACAAACTCATGAACGTTGCTTGACCGTTCCCCAGTACAAACTTGGCATCCATAGATCTTCGTAGTTACGCAATATTAAACGCCTTTCCATATGCCGACTCCGATAGTTCATCCCCGCTCGGATACAACGTGTGAAGCATATTTCAGGTGATCATGAGAATGTTCATGGTGTTTTTAAAAGGTGAGGTGAGGTGAAATTGGGTTTTACGTCGTGCTTGAGAATATTTCGCTCAAATGACGACGTGCATGCGTGTGTATGTGTATGTGCGGCTTCTTGTACTAGCCCAGACTGAAGCTTGTTTTATAGTGATAGCCCACTGAGATACCATGCCGCAGTGAAGCATGAATACTGACTCCGAGCCGACCAGTCCTTGTTGTGCCAACTAATGCCGAGCGCCGGGCAGGGACCAACAAGTACCATATTTTAAAGTCTTTTGGTATGACGCGGTCGGGGATCGAACCCGCGACCTTCCGCTCTCCGGGCGGACGCTCTAACCACCACACCACGGAGGCGGTCGTATTTTTAAAAGGCAGCATAAAACCAAAGCATTACTGAAGCTATAAATGACTTTAAAATATTGAAAATTATATTTTGTTTATTGTGATGCCTTTAGTGAGTGAGTGAGTATGGTTTTACGCCGCTTTTAGCCATACGCCAGCAATAACACGGCGGGGAACACCAGAAGTGGGCTTCACACATTGTGCCCATGTTAGGAATCGAACCCGGGTCATTAGTGTAACGAGCGAACGCTTTAACCATTAGGCTACCCCACCGCTCCTGTAACTTCAATATACTCCTTATCAAGATAAACGGTCAAATTTTATTAATTATCCTATCAGTTTGTCATCTGTCATCGTGAAGTCTCGGACATGTAATGTATTTACAGGCGCCGATGTCATCTAAACTTCAAGAGTTCCCAAGACGTCGTGATTTGAGAGAAATTGAAGTTTCTAAAATATATCTTCAACATCCTTGTGTGAAAAAAACATTCTTGGGGATTTGAACATATGCTGTTTCGATATTTACGATTAATTCTGTTTCGTTTTAGAAAGAGAAAATCCTTACGTAACAGTACGTCATTCATTACGTTTGCAACAGTACGTCAGTCACAGTATTGAAGATCATGATGCTTTGACCAGACATGTAACTACTCGCTGCCATTATCAGTCAAACCCAGTCTTAGATATAAACGTTGTTGTTTATTATCGTGACGTTTATTTATTTTTAGTTATAAAACTGGCATTGATATAACATCTCACCATGTGGGTTGCCGATAAGCAACCCCTGTGCTTGAAAGTTTGATTACAGGTCATCCATTGGAGAAAGGGGACACTTAACAAAATTAAACACGAAGAAATATAATATCTATTTGGTCATCATAGATGTGTGAATTATTTGGAAACAAATGTGTTGGAAAAGGTATATTTTCATCTGGCACTTCACATGGCACAGCAAATTATGCGTTGTCGACATAAAAGAGGATTGGCTCTTCAAAATGTTTGGAAGCACTGACAGAGTGCGTGAGTATGATTTAACGTCACTTCTAGCAATATTCCAGCAATATCATGGGTGGGGACACCAGAAATTGGCTCACACATTGAACCCATGTGAGGAAGCGAACCCGGGTTTTCGGCGTGAAGAGCTAATGCTTTAACCACTAGGCTACCCAACCGCTTCGAAACACTGACCCAAACTAAGAACCAAAGGCCCACCAGGTACAGATTGGTCCCTCAGCAAAATTAAATATTTTACAGTTTCAATCTTGTCCATGCTGTCTCCAAGGGATTTGGTAACGTCGTGTCAGAATATAAATCCGAGATGAGAATTCTGAAATATATTCCGGTTAGACCAACTTGCCTTGTGATGAGGCCATTAAAACGCACATTGGTTGTTTTTGTTAGTGTTGAATGACTCAGATTAGCAATTTGTTTCACAATAGATAGAAGTTAGATGTGTTATACAGCGCATGTATGAAAATGGAGTGATTTAACATTTAACATCAGCATTATTTCAGCAATATATCTTGTAAGTCGATAAGATGTCAGTACGTTTCTAGACCTGTTGGGGCTCTGTACTGAAGGTCTGAAGGATTCAACACTACCGTTTTTATCCAAAGTAATAATCTTAATAGTACGTTCCCTTCACTTGGTTTGTATCCGTGGGTACCCGAGGCAAATGTACATCTATAGCTCTGTGTGCAAGTTTAGTCAAAACTTCTATGTTACTTATTGTTGTAATTTTATCAGTATATATTTTTACTTGGATATGTGTGTTGAATGTTGCATATATGATGGACATTAAACGCCTTGTATGTTTACATTTTATGCAATCAAATTTTACACGAGTCTCCGGCCTTAATGCTGAATAGATTCTTCTACACACTGCTACATATATGCATGTGTCTCTGTACGTAGGAACAGCTTAATAAAATACTTGTATATTTATCTTCACTACAAAAGAATATTTCCTTCAAAGAATTCACCATCCCTAGTTTTGTTCTATACATAATATTAGGTAAGAAATCCCCCAAACTATACTATTTGCATGTATTCGATGGCATAGGTACTCAATTAAATTATCTGCTGCAAATTGTTTGGGTTTGTATGCTTGTATATTATATAAATTTTGGTTTGCCTAAACAAATTCACCTGGATAAGTTTCCCCAATGTGAGTAGGCGGCAAAATATCGGGCATTGTCATTGAAACAAGCTGGCATGATGCCAATATCGATGTATGTCGCCTTCAAGACATCAAATAATCTGAAGTAATCCCGTCAAAACAGCAGGCATAGAATTACGAGGACATAAGATTTCCTGGTTTACACGGGCGTTACACAAGGATACATCCGGGGCTGGCGTTCACGAAGAGGCATGTGTTGAAGCTGTTGGATGATTGTGGGGTCTGTAACAATTGGTATATTGGGAATTATTATTTTGTTCAAGTGCAAATTCTAGAACCTGCAAAAGACTGAATCCCATCGTTCGAACCAGCACTCAAACGCCTAGGGAGCTACTGTGGCCGAGTGGATTGATTAGATTGACTTGGGTTCGAATCCCTTTCATTCCCTTCTCCCTCCCCAAATTACTAGAATTTTTACTTCACCAACAAAGTGTAGTACAACATGCTTTACACGTTACCTTCTGAACGGCATTGTCAGCTCTGGTGGAACGTACACATCGGCGAGTTGAAAGTTTTTAGATAAAAATATCAATAGACATACATACGGGTAAAAATATGAAAATGTACGAGCGCCATCGGGTTGGGAATGATATTAGGATTTAGGATATCCCTTAGGTCAGTGTTCAGCCACTGGTTTGATACAAGTAAAAGAAATAAGTCATTTACAGAATTTGCATCTTTCACAATGCACTCGACTTAAAAACCCAATGAAAATCTTGCAAAGCGTCCTGACCAAAGTATGAAATATACACATCAGGGATATTTTCTTGTTCTACAAGTTCAGTCTGTCACAGGTGATGTTCAGTCTGGCGATTTTCAATATGAAACAAATCACGTCCAACATAACAGCAAGGTTGTCCACTGCCAGATGTTTCTTATTTGGGCATGACATGCGACTTAGGAAGTGACTCGTGTTGCATATTGGTAGATTAGAACACATGCACTTTACTGAAAACAGTGCGATGCAGACCTGCATCTGGGTCGATGAAGGAACACTTTGGGTAGTCTGGAGCCGGGTTGTAGGGACAGTCCCTCGGGAACGTTTGTATGGAGCGGGTTAGATACTGTTACCGAAGCTCGGCGTAAGATCGAGTTCCATGTAAATGCCATCTTATTACGTTTGGTTTGTTGTTTAACGCCGCACTCAGCAATATTCCAGCGATACGGCGGTGGTCGGCACATAATCGAGTCTGGACCAGACAATCCAGTGATCAACAGCATGAGCATCGATCTACGCAATTGGGAGGCAGTGACTGTCAACCAAGTCAGCGAATCTGACCACCCGATCCCGTTAGTCAGCTCTTACGACAAGCGTGGGTTGCTGAAGACCAATTCTAACTCGGAGCTTCAAGGATCATCTGATTGCGGATCCAAGGAGGAGGTGGAATATGGTCTTTGAATCTTGCAGATTCAGGACTGTCTGACTGACTGAGTTTAGTTTTACGCCGCTTTTAGCAATATTCCAGCAATATCACGGCGGGGGACACCAGAAATGGGCTTCACACATTGTGCCCATGTGGGGAATCGAACCCGGGTCTTCGGTGTTCCAGATGCAGGACGAATGATATTAAATGACGTAGGAAGTAAGAACAAAGAGTAATGAGTTTGTCAGGGTTTAGTTCAGGTGTTGCTACACTTTGCCATTGTGAACTGTTCTGATACGGAGGGGGCCGATACATGATGCAATAGATATTGCAAATGACGTCCCGACGAGGAGCCCCAATCCAAGTATCGCTGACCAGTAGAGGGCGCTATCTTGGACACGACGATCTACTACCATGACCTGTATGGCGTCAGTCCTGGACATGTGGTGTCGAGGTTCTATGTCGGCGAGGTGATGAACTTCCGATTTCACATGCATGTCGCCGTGAATTGGCTCTTCTAAATCTGAAAGTAATTTCAGCAATTTAAAACAAACTCAAAGGTTAAACACCATATGTCTTCATGTTACGATAGATAGGACCCCTGAAGATCTGGGTTAGAAAGTATCTTCATCGAAACATAAGAGGCGACTATCGATGGTCAGTCTGGTTGTGATCGTATCCTAGGTGTGCAGATCGATGTTGAACATGTCAATCACCTGACTATCTGGTCCAAACTCTATTATACATAGCCTGCCGTTATATAAGTGGAATACCGCTCAGCGATCCACGTTTAACAAAGTATATGTTACTTGAGATAAACGGTTCTTTAACTGCTTTTGCGAATTTGAGTAGCATATTTTAAAAGCATTTTATTAAACGTTAGCTACTAGATTAGGAATTCCGTTTCTGAAGGTGCTGTTGGAAGAAGCGTTCCGGATGTTGGTAGTCAAAGTCAAAAGGAGTTTATTTGTAACGAGGCCAAAGGCCCATATACAAGTTATAACTAATCATAGTTAACAAGAGCATACAAATGAAGTCTAAAGTGTTTCTAAATACATATTTCTTTTTATATAAGCATGGTAAATGTAATACTGTATACGTTTGATTAGATTCTCCTGAGATGTACATAACAGATTTATTTATGGATAGAAGGGAATTTCCAAAAGTGTACCGGAAGAAAGGTCATTCTCAATTCATTGTATAAGTGGGATATAAGTGTGAAATGATACTCATCCTCCATAGAGTTGTTGCAAATGGGACACAAACGTAAACCAGATTCGATTGATTGCCACCTACCTTCATTATAACGTAGTGGCAAGACATTGCATCTGAATTTGGTGTAAGTAGAGCGCACCTTTGTTTCTAATGATATACAGGTATCTTTCTGGTTCAAATATGAATTAATATGCTCTATACATCACATATCTTGAGCTGTTTTTCAAAGTGGACGTCCAACTTTGAGAAAATTCATTTATCAATGATTTTTTAAAACAATTGTAAAAAAGAAAGTTCATCACCAACAGATTGGTTAATCCAGATATATCCAAAGCCATGAGAAAACAATTTTTATGAACGATACCCAACTATTTTCAATGTTCTAGGGGGGTTACAGGGATGTGGCTTGTAAATATTTTACTTAGTAAGGCCAGAAATGCTTGCAAAATGCATTTTGGCTTCAATATCAATATGATGAATTTGACAAGATAAAAGCGCATATATGATACATGCACGACTTTACCTAGTTGGATATTAAAGCTTAGATGAAAATATGCACTTGAGGGGTGACTTCATGAGAGGAAAGTTTGACGTTTTAACAACATTCGTAAATATTCTAAGTACAAACTGTAGTTTTGAAATACAGACTATAATTATTCATATAGCCTCAACTATTTAAATTACACAAAGTTTTGTTTTTTTGAACATCTGTATGTGAAAAAGATGGAACTCCTGTAGTAGTTATATTCAAAATAATTACGTAAAAATGTCTTAATTCAAATCGCATAGATACTGGAGATATTTTGAGACGGTCCCTGACATGAACTGCCCGTGTGTTACATAACTCTGTCGCCCTGTCTGCCTGCCAGGTGGGTCACAGTATAGTTTGTTTCTTTGAAGTGTTTCTACCATGGAATTTTTTCTAAGTTTTTCGATATTTTACGAGTAATCATTATGATTAGGGAATGGTACATCGTGATTACTCATGCCATATTAGGTCGCGGTGGTATGAATGACTATATATGAGTTTTGAATCTTAACTATCAACCATTATCAAATAATTGCCAAAAAGCATTTTCCAAGCATTTGTAGAACACTACACCATACGATTCTTTCCTGTCTTTGCCATTTCTTTCAAGTCGTTACCAGTTATGAACCTAACGGCTACTATTAGTGCGACACAAAGGAGATTTGACGTTTAAAAGCCAAGGGAATCAAATAGGCATACCTTGGAAAGGATTAGATCGACGTCTTCTCTGATTTGTGCAAGAGTCCTGCAAAACATTGTTTACATTTACACAGCAACGGAAAGGCATATGTAAATATGGATGAACTGTAACAGTCATAAACGTTCCCAGTTATGGAGCATTGATATCAGATAACTGTACCATCAGCCAAAAGCTAAAAACCGGATTAGGAAGACATTCAGTGAAGGAAACGGATGGCTGAACATAAAACAAGTGTTTATAGTCTGTTTGCAGTGAAAACGTACCGATGAATTTCACTTTAAACAAAAAGTAAATCAAATAAAGTGTAATTAAGATTGCGAATCCTCATAATTTTACCTTGCTAATTGAACATTAAAATCTCAGAATTTTATTCAACTTAGGATAAAGTTGTTTAACAAATGATTATAGTTTCAAATCGCTATTATTGGTTTGTATTACATGGGGGGTACGCGCAGTAGTTGGAACAGTGAAATAAATGCACGTTCGGTGCGTGATGAGCGTTAACTTATACCCCCTTGTAATACAAACCAATAATAGCGATTTGAAACTATGATCGTTTGTTAAACAACTTATACCCTAAGTTGAATAAATTTCTGAGATTTTAGTGTTCAATTGGCAAGGTAAAGTTATGAGGATTCGCAATCTTAATTTGACTTTATTTGATTTACTTTTTGTTTAAAGTGAAATTCATCGGTACGTTTTCACTGCAAACAGACTAAGTGTACGTCCTATCTATGATCCTTGTTCGTTTCAAGCTTTAGATACTACGGGGGAATTAGAGTCCACAATATTCGGCACCTCCTACGCTATCACTGAAAGTCAGATTATATAAATATATACAAGTGCCAATTCTATATACAGTTTCAGAACTAGTAATGTGACCGGCACGACAAAAACACTCACCCCATCACATTTTTTCGTGCATAAAGTAAAGTTGCATTGAAAATTCAAAGCTGTATCGTTCTCAATGCCAAAAGACTCGAAGAAAGGGCTTTTGGTGACCAGGCCTTCAGTGATGAAACCCCTGTCCTTGGGAAAGACAATACCGTCCCCGCACCTGAAATGGTCCAAATGTTACGAAGATAAAACCAGGATGCCAGATATTTGCTTCACCACCAAACGTTGCCGAGAACCGTAAACATTCACGGCGGTTGCAGATGCAGAAATATAGAACATTACAACGATAAAGTACATGATACTTGCATGTAGTGTTCTGATAGATGACCTTGACCTACCCTGCTCGGATGACAGCGTACCGCTTTCCCGAGGAGTGGCCAATCGCGTCACAATCGACAGGCTTCACTCCCTTCTCTCCACTGGAACCTTCAAGCAGTGTTTAGATGTCGTTAGAGGTTATGTCACGACAGCTTAGGTATGTGTAAAGGAGAGAAAACAACTTTGTTATTTCGTGAATTGTTTTAGGCCACAGTAAAACGCTGACTGCATGGAAATATGTTGAGAATGCGACAAGACACACGATTTCTACCATTGTTTTACGTCTGAAATGACCAATACGATCAGAAAGACTCACCACTGGTCGTGCCCTTGAGCTGCACCTTCCTGCTCCGCCATACCTTCCGCCCTACCATGTCCTTGCCAAGGACATCGGTCAGCTGCAGTTTGAGGTTGGAGGTAACCGCTGGACCCTGGTAGTTAGACAGTGCCCCTGGCGCAATCAACCTGCCATATTGACACAGCATCCAGAAATGTTCGGACGTTTTAAGTATAAAGTATGATACGGCATGGACTATACACTCAATGTTGGAAAAATTAGAAAAGGGAGCAAATACCCAAACATCAAACAAAAAATGGTGAGATACACAACGGTTTGGTAACCTCTTTAGGACCTCCGCTTGATGAACGAACATATATGCAGGCATGGGCATTAATGTTTAGATGTAACGTCACAGAATCGTTGTACATCATTATCAGAGAGCACATTTGCTAATGAGAATTGCAACCGCATGCATATATAGTCCCTCAGCTTTATAGACGTTATTTGACGACTGAAAAAGGTATGTCATACAACGTGACTTTCACACTTCTATGCTGTCAGCCAAAGAGTGATCAGCTTGGCCTGCATTCCATGGCAGACAATAGACCAGCTACCCAGCGACGTGCATTTGGTCGACAGCGTTCGACCTAACAGGTCCTTGTGTCTATATGATGCGAGAGAAAGTGAGAGATTTCCGAATTCCAATGTAGCCGAATATGACCGCTATTGTGCTCGATGATTTAGGATGGGATCAGAAGAACTGGCAGACTTACCTTCTAAAGCAAGGACAAGGAGACATTATGGATCACAAACGCGCCTCAAACGGTTATATATTTCCAATACGTCTCCACGCAATACTGACTTTGTCAACTTTCAATAAATAACCATCTTTTCAATGGCGATCCTTATCAAATTTGAGTTGTATATACTTAAGTTTCGTGTTTCTGGAACTATTAAAGTTTTTCTCGTCTCTTATAATTTATGAGCAGCAGTATTTGGCAAATTGTGTTGGCCTGAAAAAATGTTGCTTAAACCTGCGAATGCCTGTAGGCAAAAGCATGAGTACTTATATAGGAGGGGTACTGCGTGGGTTTGACGCGAGAAACACCTATCGTGAAGAGAAAATTTCGTCTTTATCCTATTGTAAGGTTTCCCGTTGGATGTTCACACGTGGCTTACCCAGCTGTGATGAGACTGCCTCGAGTCTCGTTCTTGTTCGTGGGGTCGAAAGTGCAGGTAATTGTTCGTTCCTCCTCCGCTTTGTACACAAGATTGCCGTTATCGCCATACGCCACTTTCACGTGTAGCACGTACACGCGAACTTTGTCGCGTTTCTGCAGGATAACAAAAGGGTCATTTTGAACTAAAAGTGATTCATCATACTGAACACATTTCGGGCCTAAAGTAAATCTGACAATGGTGATGCCAACATCCAGTGAAAGCATCGTACTCTATACACGTAGCCATGGATCATTTTATTTCAAGCTTGGGATAAACTAAATTTCTTACGTTCGTACCATTTCAAACATTATACAGTTGGAGTTCGTGGCCTAAACTCCACGTGTGACGGCGTTATCTTGTACTCACAGTGAACTGGCATTTGCTGGAACCCCCGCTGTTGTATTTCACTGCAAGTCGTGCTGTGGCCTTGTCGATGCGTTCGAAGGGCACTGCGATATTGCCGGCACATACTGCCGTGCCCTTGAAGTCAAGGTCGGCCACGATTGTGACGATGGCTAAGTCACTTTCGCTTTTGCCACAGTTGGAACTTACTGACAGCAGAAAGATTGACAATTCACAACACACATGAGATTTGACGAATACTTCACAAACAATATTACCGTTTTCAATAAGTTGGAAAATGCTACTCCACTTTAGGTAAGGAATGTTTTTAGCATTCCATTGTTAAAGAAACCTGATAACTGTCAAATATGCATTTATATAGAATTACACAGCCGATTATTCCCATAAACGTTGACTAAAATACTTCTATATGCATAGGACGTCGACAAAGATGGATCAGTACTATTATAATAAGTTCAATTCAACATTTCACAATGTTGTAATCACACCGGATTCGCTGTTCTGCAATGACTACCAACGACACCGAGATTGTGCAACAAACTGTATTCTCCCAATATATTCCCTCTACGCAATATGATTCTTGATTGGAGTTTTACGCCGCACTCGGCAATATTCCAGCTGTATGACGGCGGTCTGTAAAAAATCGAGTCTGGACCAGACAATCCGGTGCTTGACATGAGCATCGATCTACACAACTGGGATACGATGACATGTGTCAACCAAAGCAGCGAGCCTGACCACCCGATCCCGCTAGTCGCCTTTTTTGACAAGCATGGGTTGCTGAAGATCAATTCTTGCTCGGATCTTCACGGGTCCTACGTGACGGGTAGATTAACCGTAACGACATGGAAGGAAGCATACCTTTCAAAACATAGCCTTTGGGTAATGCGGCAAGGGCCTTGCCCTGAAATAGATATTTGCAACGTAACATTTGTTGACAAGACAACTGACGATCAAAAAATGTATCAAAGAATAATAATTATTTGTTCACTTAAAGTCTAGTTTTATGTTTTATGTATGTTTTAACGCCCTATTCAGCCATATTATAACTTGAGATGCATTTTTAACTACAAGGAGCTCAATTCTTCGTCCTATCCCCACAATATTGAGGCAACAAATTGCAGCATGTATTTTACTTATATTTGAGAGAGAGAGAGAGAGAGAGAGTTTGTTTGGTATAATGGCCTCATGGCCATTACAAAAAAATACATAATTATTTGTTTGTGCGCATACAATAAATATACATAAATATAATGCATAAATATATAGCAGTCAAACAGGTAGGTTTCTCCTCAGCTAGTCTTTTCATAACATTCATATTTTTTGTGCATAACTGCTTAAACTTAAATACAGATGGATTTTTATGATAACCAGGAATAAACTGCATCCTATTTGTATTGTAGTACGGACAAGCTAATAGAAAGTAGTATTTGTCTTTTACTCCATCTAAATGACACTTGATACATATTGCTGTAGTGTTATCTCTACATTGCCTTCATTGAAACGCAACTGTTGGACACCCAATATGTGTGATACATTTGAACCGCCTGTAAAAATTAAATTCAGTAACATGCCCTTTTCTTATTTTTAGAAATTAAAGCTCAGTAAAAACAAATGGTCGCTTCACTATACATACTTTGGAGGGGAATGGGGCTAAAACACAGGTCAGAACGGGCAGGAATTGGGGAGTATGCTCTCCACATCAGAGTCAAAATACGGTGATGTTAAGGAAGAATATTGAGGCGCGACTATTTAAACCCAAGTTCAACCCACGGCCCCGTTTCACAAAGCTAACGTAGCGTTATGGCTGTCGTAGCCCCTATACTGCAACACGGACTAACGACACTTGTAGCACTGCGATAGCTTTGCGAAACGAGGCCTAGGACTGCCTGGACGATGTTTAAAATTCAGGGGTGGAAATAACCCATTGCCCGACGTCCGAGTCCAGTGTTTCTTTCTGTCGGGCAAGCAAATTTGTATTTCACACTGTACCGGTGTCCACTTGACTTTCCAATGTTAATTATGTTGTTTATTTAAAAATTCAACCAAAAGACAGCCAGTATAGTCGAAAAATTATCAGGGCAAGTGATTTTACATGTGCCACTGTACCGGAATACACTAGCAATTTTAAAGTTATTTCCACCCCTGACTGTTTCACTGTCTTTCTACGTTGTGCATATGACATGTTCATTTGGAAGAGAAGGCCACCTACCACCACGATCGCAGCTAGGAGGGTGCAGATCAAAGACATCTGAAACAAACAATCAGTTAAAAAAGTATCAGCCAATTGACAAATAGTGCCCCGAATCAGCTGTCGTCAAGTCGGCGTGTTGACTACCCACCTTAACCAGGTGCCGGCAAATAGACGATTGTGGCTCAATGCCCGCCACGCTCAGGTCTCAGGAGCAGGAACAGCACGTGCGTCTCGTGCATAACGTGCAAGGAGATTAACAGCGGCGTGCAGGATGTTTGGGTGTTCTCGGAGAGCGGAAGGCCTGTGGTTCGATTCCATGGTCGCGTCACATCAAAGATGGTTCTTGTCTTTGGTCTGCTTGGCCCTCAGTGTGGGCCACCATGGTACTTTTGGTATGCTAGTAGGCCTACTAAACAGGCGACGTGAAGGCTATAGTTTCTTTCAACTCCATATTGTTTGGTCCAAGCTCGATTATTTACCGAACGCTCACTGAACCCTGAGGTATAAAGTTGAAGAGCACTTGATTGTTTGCTTGTGTGTTTGTTTGTTTTGTTTGTGTTGGTGGGATATTTATTTGTTTAACGCCGCACTCAGCAATATTCCACCTATTGTCGGCGTTCGGTAAATAATCGAGCTTGGACCAAACAATCCAGTGAACAATAGTATGACTATGAGCGTCGATTTACGCAATTGGGATACGATGGCATGTGTTAAACCAGATCAGCGAACCTGACCACACCACACTCAAAATATGGAAGTGAAAGAAATGATGTTAAGCTAACTTTCAATCGCCGTGCGCTGAGATAACTTTGTAGAGCTGGGTATTGACAATACCGCGATGTCCCAAATGAACCACACAATCGCACCTGAAACGTGTGTGTGTGTGTGTGTGTGTGTCCTGGTGACCTCGTGAAGGCGGTGAGTGAGTATGGTTTTACGCCTCTTTTAAGAATTTTCGAGTAATATCACGGCCCGGGACACCAGATGCGGGACTGAACCCGGGTATTCGGCTTGACGAGCGAACGCTTTAACCACTAGACTACCCAACTATCCCTGAAACGTTTGTGTGTAATTTCTGGTGCCATTCCGAGATAGTGAATGAGCGAGTATAGTTTTACGCCACTTTTTAGAATATTGTAGCAATATCACGATCGGGAACATCAGAGCGAAACCACGCCTGAAGAGCGAACGCTTTAACCACTAGGCTACCCAACCGACCCTGAAACGTTAGCGCGTATCCTGGTGACATCGTGAAGACGGAAGCAACAGCATTACCATCTTCAATGACAGTTTGCGTGACGGGAGCGTACTGTGTAACACTCTGACAATAAAAAGTTGTTTTGTCGAGCTATCGGTTTGAGTTGATCTATTGAGAATCAATACAGCCTGTTCATTAACATCACCTCCTTTCATAGCAGAAGACTTTACAACTTGCGTTTGATCTAGACGTTCCATTGTCAATCTCAACTATCGACTAATACCATAATTGTTTCTTTTCAGTCAGTGTACATCTTTGCTGTTTCAATTGGCATTTCCTCATAGCAATGTAGCGTTGTAAAATTATTTCATTTTGATCGGCGACAATTGAAAATAGAGCATCCGCCACATCGAACGGCACAGGATGGTATTGGGAGTCTTGTTGAATGTGACTTCTTAATTGATCATCACAGATCAATGGTAGAGTTAACAGGCATGTACACGTGTATATGTTTTGCAAGCTCTTTATGTCTATCTGTTTTCTGTGGGTTCCGTTTCACTAAGGGATCTTAGCCCTACCTCGGGTCTTTGATATATAGACGTCACGCATATTTTAGTCACTGCGCTGAATTGCCCTTGGTCCCGTTCCGCAGATCGATCTTAGCGCTAAGACGACCGTAGTTCAAATGCATTAATACAGATTCACCACAGGCGTTGTGTCAAGGGCTTTGTGATCTGAGTCCTGGTTCAACCTGCATGGCGAAAAGGTTTTCATTCGGTTGCGTTAAACCCTTGGGTGCGTGAGTCAGAATGGACCTCATTCCGGCCATCCTTGTCGTTAGAACAAACAACCAAAGGAGAGAGTTGTGTTGTACATCGCTTTCAACAGTATGCCACCCATGTAACCCATGCTTGTCGTAAGAGGCGACTAACGGGATCGGGTGGTCAGGCTCGCTGGCTTGGTTGACTCATGTCATCGTATCCCAGTTGTGTAGATCGATGCTCATGCTGTTGATCACTGGGTTGTCTGGTCTCTATTATTTACAGACCGCCGCCATATAGCTGTAACATTGCTGAGTGCGGCGTAAAACTAAACTCAATCAGTGCTGCAACAGTATGTAAGTTATATCACCGCAATGCTAGCCTAATATGGAAGAAACACGAAATTCTGACATGTTTGCCAATTTGGTAAAAACCTCAAAGAAAGTAAAATCGTTGAATCGAACCAAGGATTATCGGTTCCTGTGACGACTAAGGGACATACTCGTAACTATGAATTCTAGGTGAGCCGACCAGTAATGATTGGAAAAGCGCCGTTGAGCAGGCCTAGCGTGGAAATTAGGCGCTATACAAGTGAATTATTCTATTCTATTCTATTCTATTCTATATATTCTATGATAAGATCGATACGTCACCGGGTTGAGTTCGATTTCAAAACCCTGTGTGAACCAAGGGGGCCGCGTTTACCATGGTATAACTACAGTATGCGGTCTGACATTGGTTAACAAGGCTGCCAGCTCATCTACGTATTACTTGCAGGGATTATACATGACCATCCTCTCTGAATCCCTGTCGTGCAGTAACTGCTTAGCAGCCTCCGTATTTCAAGTCATTAAGTTTCATTTACCGAGTCAATCATGGATAGAAGCATAAATAATCAATATAAGAAACTCGGATCTGAGGTGTGGGTGTGGGTGTGGTGGTAGTCTTGTCTGCAGTCCCTGAACCACATTATTTTCCCTACTGCCCAGCCCACCATGAAATGCTCAAGCCCTAAATGAATAAAGTCTTGATTTCCTCAGGTTCTGAATTTTCCCATGTGACAGGCTCCTTTTCAATTTAAATGGGTTTGTTACTATCAAAATTATACTATTTGGAGACTAAGCGTTAGTATGTGTGTGTGTGTGCGTGCGTGCGTGCGTGCGTGCGTGTGTATTTAACATTCCTTGATATGTACATGTGGAAATAAATTGGACTTGAAAAACATTATTTTCAATTCCGTAAACAAGATGTGTGACATGGCACTGACAGTCAAGTATGTAAAAAAAATTAAATTCGTAATGTTTTTGCATGAAATCTGTACAATCTTCAGATGTATGTCATGGTAACCTTGGCTATGTTTATCCTGAATATTTTCATTTCACTACAAAACTGACAATTTATGCACCAGTTCATTAATGCTGCTCTACCTGAGCAAATATGGGTGATGCGTAATTTCCATATGCACATAAATACTTTGATATCATGCTTTGCATCTCTGATGTGCTTTGGATTGTTTTAAACTTAGCTGTGACAGATGCGTCAAACAGAATAGGTGCAAAACACCTTTCATGGTTTTTGTAGTAATTTATTACGTTACTCAAACTTTACTGAGGTCAACACCTTTGACAAATGATCAATCTGGCAATCAACAAATGTTGAATAGTATAATGCAAGCTTGTATTTGACAGTTATATTGAACTAAAAGGTTAGATGAGGTGAGGTGAAATTTAACGTCGAGCTGGAGAATATTTCGCTCATATGACGACGTGCATGCGTATGTGTATGTGCGGCTGCTTGTACTAGCCCAGACTGAAGCTGGTTTTATAGTGCTAGCTATAGCTCACTGAGATACCATGCCGCAGTGAAGCATGAATGCCCTACTCAGACACATTATTCTGACTCCGAGCCGACCAGTTCTCGTTGTACCCATTAATGCAGAGCGCCAGGCAGGGACCAACAAGTACCATATTTTAACGTCTTTTGGTATGACGCGGTCGGGGATCGAACCTGCGACCTTCCGCTCTCCGGGCGGACGCTCTAACCACTACACCACGGAGGCGGTTAAAAGGTTAGAGATCATGGATATATATGTCAGGGTAGAGACTGTAGAGATTGCGATCGGAGTCTCTACCAGTAGAGACTGCGATCGGTTTGGGTCGTACGTCGTTCATTTTCCAATTCAACTAGTAGAAACTCCGATCCTACTAGTAGAGGCTGCAATCGTCTGCAACTGGTAGAAACTCCGAGTGATCTGTGGGTAAACAACAAAGACACTATCTGCCATATCCCCACCTGGTCATTTCCCCACCTCTTTGGAAAGCAGTGTTTTTATAACAATTACTGATAATAAGTTTTGAAATACATCTGAGTGAACTTCCTACTTTTAACTGAGACTTTGATAACAAACATTTAACACCTCACTGTAAACAATATCAAAATAAAAACTAAAAATGGTTTGCAACACTGTATTTACATCATGAGACCAAGCTGCCAAATTTGGACTCCACTCAAAAATAAAAACAAAATACCTTACTCCAAAAAAGACTTAACAAATAAAGTTAACAAGATAACAATAAATAAGTTCAATTATAACTGGCAAAATAATAGGAAAACATTATCCCCACTTATTATACTTGCTTGCATAAGCTTGCACTTGCTTGAATAGGTTATTCCATATAATCGTAGTCTCTACCAGTAGAGACTACGATTGCAATCTCTACTGGTAGGATCGGAGATTCTACCAGTAGAGACTCTGATCGCAATCTCTACTGGTAGAGACTCCGATCGCAATCTCTACTGGTAGAATCTCCGATTCTACCAGATCGCAGTCTCTACCCTGACATATATTTTATATAATTTTCATGATGCACTGTTATGCACAGTGTATTTCAGGATCTGCTCTAATCTATTCTCAATTACCACTGGTTACCTCAGGTTGAATCTAGTCAATCTTAGTTGTCAGAAAGGTGATAACATCGATTAACTCATGTCGCTCAAATTTGAATAATCGAATTCACGTAGTCCGCCAACGAACTCTGCCGGTTTGGGTCGTACGACGTTCTCTCCCCAGCTTAATTGTTCCGTCAATTGATTATTTCAAGGTCGACCTGCTACGTTACGTCAATGTAACATAACAAACATCGATCTGCAGAGAAAAGTGTCGGAGTTCATTTTTCGAAGTCAACAAGAATTCATCTATTTCACGAAGACCTGTCGATCGAGTCTGGACCAGACAAACCAGTAATTGACGACAGGATCACTGTCCCACATCCTTAATTTCTTCGACGACAGAAAAAAATATAGCCTGACCAACCGATCCCCGTTTGAGGTTGCATGAAGTGTTGAACGCTGTAATCCGCACTATGCCAGCCTCAAATCATGTACCTTTACATAATCTTGCCCCGCTTTTACTAAGCGATCGGAAATAGTAACTGTACTTTGACATACGACCGTCGTAGTGCTGAGAGAGGTGAGATGAGGTGAAATTGGGTTTAACGTCGTGCTTGAGAGTATTTCGCTCATGACGACGTGCATGCGTGTGTATGTGTATGTGCGGCTGCTTGTACTAGCCCAGACTGAAGCTGGTTTTATAGTGCTAGCTCACTGAGATACCATGCCGCAGTGAAGCATGGATACCCCCATCAGACACATTATACTGACTCCGAGCCGACCAGTCCTTGTTGTACCCATTAATGCCGAGCGCCAGACAGGGACCAACAAGTACCTTATTTTTACGTCTTTTGGTATGACGCGGTCGGGGATCGAACCCGCGACCTTCCGCTCTCCGGGCGGACGCTCTAACCACTACGCCACGGAGGCGGTCAGTGCTAAGAGAGCTTTACGCAAGTGGATCAAGACCTTAGTTATGACCCAGTAAAGCAACGATCGACATTGTCGGGATACGACGACATGCAATCACTTGAAACCAAGTAACCCAGCTGGACTACTTTCGACCAACAGGTTTGTCCAAACGGGGAAGGAATGGGGACCTCCATTCGGATCTTTTACTGAAGGCACATCCATCCCGTGGACAGTGGTTAAACTCGTCCAAGATACTCACTGCATGTGACAGTTTGATAACCTGTAACGAGTGCAGTTGGCAAGACTGGCCAATCATTTTCTGTTCATTCAGGATTCGGAAATGGTATCCTTTGAAAGTACGAGTTTTGAACAGTATAGCACTCAAGGCGGCTCAGCTTGATGCGGATGCATTTGCGATTTCACTTTTGTGAGCACGTGTTTGGTGCAGACATACCAAACGGATTCGAAAGTGGGATATCAGGTCCTTGCATTATTTCGGGAGCAACTATGTGTTTTCGGAAGAGATGTGTATAGACATTGTAAAAGGCCATAGCTTTCTCTCGTGTAAGACACTGAGGTAAAAATATTCAGCTCCATGAAAATCAAATGATTGCTTCCTGTGAAAATGCATCTCTTCACCAATTGCTGTGAAATAAATTATATATTTTAGCCCGGTAATGTACACGTTAGGGCTCCCCGTTCCTTTGTGTACAAAGTGAGTGAGTTTAGTTTTACACCGTACTCAGCAATATTCCAGCTATATGGCGGCGGTCTGTATCGACTCTGGACTACTTCTAGCGGTCATCATGAAAGCTTATTCAGATGATGCTAACCGTTTAATTAGAAATGTGTTGAATTTTTTTTAAAAAGAGTGAGTGAGTGAGTTTAGTTTTACGCCGCACTCAGCAATATTCCAGCTATATGGCGGCGGTCTGTAAATAATCGAGTCTGGACCAGACAATCCAGTGATCAACAGTATGAGCATCGATCTTCGCAATTGGGATACGATGACATGTGAAAGTCAGCGAGCCTGACCACCCGATCCCGTTAGTCGCCTTTTACGACAAGCATGGTTTACTGAAGACTAATTCTAACCCGTTGTGGACAAAGGAAACACGAGATATGGCAAGAACAGGTTTTATTCGTGGACTGAGCTGGTGTTACAGATGCTGCACAGACCAACATAGCAACGTCATCATCGTTAGGAACGACAGCACCACAAATATGACAACAGCAATGCTCGTGTACGTCAGCAGATGCGTGAATACCCTGCGGTTCTTACTTTCCTCTCTGCCATCGTCTAAGCGCCTTTTTATTCCAACCAAAATTTCTGAGAGTTTTCGCAGTTTGGGTTCATCGGATGTTGATTGTGGCTCCATGGCTTTGATGTTCATGTCAAAAAAGGCTTGTTTGGTTGAAGCTGATGGGACGTTTTTGGGGTCATCGGAAGAACCACGGCTTGGTGGGTCGGACCGAGCCATTCCTTGTTGACCTGGAGGGATTGCGGCGAGCAACATTTTCTTCAAAAGCATGGACAAAGGGCGGGGGTTCCTCATTCTTGGAGGCTCAAACTCTTGTGGAGAAACGAGTGCAGAACCATTTGACTCTGGATGCATCTCAATGTCAGCCTCGACTTGGCCGTACACGGTAAACAGCGGTGCGCTATGGATGGCGTCGTTTGGTTCTTCAGGATTTTCCGCATGAAAAGGGTTTTGCCAGTCATCTTCTGATGGTCCGGTGTCATCATTCCTGTCCTCGTCGGTGTTGACTTCATACATTTGGTCCTCGGGATTCACGTGGTACAATTGGTCCTCGGAATTAACGTCATGTGTCTGGTCCTTGGGCATGACGTCGTAGCTCTGTTCCTTGGGTTTGATGTCGATATATAACGTGGCACCTGCGAAAAGTGTGTTATGAAGGGGTATCGAGTTTCCATCCTTGGGAGCGATATACTGTTGGTCCACAGGATCAGCGTCAAGCCATTGGTCTTTGATATTGACGTCATAACGTGGATCCTGGGGTTCCACGTTGACAACCATATCACCGGCGACAAGTGTATTATCAAGGGAGGTTGAGCTTCCTTCAATGGTATAAGGCTTTTGTTCAGCGGGATCGGCGTCAGGGCTTTGGTCCACGATTTTGATGTCATAATTTGGGTCGTAGGGTTCGACGTTGACGTAAGTATCACCGGCAACAAGTGTCTTACCAAGGAAAGTTTGAACTGGCTCCTTGGGGTCGGCGTTAGGCCTCTGCCTCTGCTCCTGAGGGTGGGGGTTGGCCTCAGGCCTCTGCTCCTGCAGGTGGGGGTCCGCGTCAGGGCTTTGGTCCACGATTTTGATGTCATAATTTGGATTCCTGGGTTCGACGTTGACAAAAGTATCACTGGCAACAAGTGTGTTATCAAGGAAGGTTGACATTCGCCCCCGGTGGTCGGCGTTAGGCCTTAGCTCCCGTCCCTGCTCCTGCGCGTCGGGGGCGGCGTTAGGCCTCGGCTCCCGCTCCTGCGCGTCGGGGGCGGCGTTAGGCCTCGGCTCCCGCACCTGCGCGTCGGGGTCGGCGTTAGGCCTCGGCTCCCGCACCTGCGCGTTGGGGTCGGCGTCAGGCCTCGGCTCCCGCACCTGCGCGTTGGGGTCGGCGTCAGGCCTCGGCTCCCGCACCTGCGCGTTGGGGTCGGCGTCAGGCCTCGGCTCCCGCACCTGCGCGTTGGGGTCGGCGTCAGGCCTCGGCTCCCGCACCTGCGCGTTGGGGTCGGCGTCAGGCCTCGGCTCCCGCACCTGCGCGTTGGGGTCGGCGTCAGGCCTCGGCTCCCGCACCTGCGCGTTGGGGTCGGCGTCAGGCCTCGGCTCCCGCACCTGCGCGTTGGGGTCGGCGTCAGGCCTCGGCTCCCGCACCTGCGCGTTGGGGTCGGCGTCAGGCCTCGGCTCCCGCACCTGCGCGTTGGGGTCGGTGTCAGGCCTCAGCTCCTGCGGGTGGGCGTCGGCGTCAGGCCTCAGCTCCTGCTCCTGCTCCTGCGGACGAGGGTCAGTGGCAGACCTCTGTTGCTGGGGATCTGAGTCAGGCCTCTGGTTCTTTATTTTGATGTCATACCATTGGTCATTGGGTTCATCGTTGACATAAAGCGGGTCAGGATCGACTAGTCGTATGTTCTCAAGGGAGGTTGGGCTTCCTTCTTTGGGACCTGCATCATTTCGGTCCCTGGGATCCATGTGCAACGATCGGTACCTGGAATCAACGTCCTGCCCTTTGTCTTTAGGATCTTCAAGCCTTTGGCCCTTGGTTTTTACGTCGTGCAACTGCCCTTTGTGCCGTAGCTTTTCGGGTTCAGCCTCAAGCTTCGGGTCATCAGGAACTACGTCATGCCTCTGGTTGTGTGGATTCAGTTCATTGTTTTGCTCCTTCAAGCTGATGTCATACATTTGGTCCAGTAGGGCATCACCTTCTGAAATGTATACAGTCATAAGTTACAATGGATGAGCGGAATTAATTTGTGATGACATGTAGCAACATTCAAAGAACCTGGATTTTTTTGTTTATAAATAACTGGCAATCAGTTTGGTTTGTTATTTTACGTGATTGTTTTTTCAACTGAAACCAGGTAACAATGGGTTTAAGTTGAATTCTGACTGACCTGACTGACCTGACTGTCCATGCTTGGCTGGCAGCCCGGACACAGCAACCTGAAGAATTGCCAAGAAGTGAAGAATGAGTGATTGTTTCACGCCACTTTGGGCAATTTTCGATGAACTGTAATTACTCTCGACCAAACCAGTTACAAAGCATTAGTAACGATCTAGGGTGATTATTGTTGATCCACAAGATGTTTTGCAGAACATGAAAAATACAGTGATAAACCTTTTTTTCAAAAACAAAAACAAAACCGTAGCCAAAATATTCAACCCCCGGAATACCAAATGGTTTGCTCAAAGTCGAAGTGCAATGGGGTCTTACTTCGTGTGCAAGATTATTGAAAACCGAGTGACGTCAGCGTTTTTCTTAACACACTGGTAATACCGATTTGATAGTTCAAGCCAACCGATATACCATCCGGCAGTTAAACATATACACCTGAAAATAAGTTGAGCATCCCTTAGTAATATCTGTTGACCGCTAACAGTAGTATGTTCAAGTTCAGCTGATGTGATGATACGTATGATAATAATGTTCATTTGAGAAATTATTGCTTGTGTACTTGGTGGAAAGTGTCTCTCAACGGAACCGGTAGCTAACTTCGCTCATCGTATCCCAATTGCTTAAATCGATGCGCATGATGTCTGTCACCGGATTGTCCGGTCCAGACTTGTTTGCAGACTGCCGTCATATCCCTGACTTATTGCTGAATGCAGCGTTAAACAGCAAACAAGAACACGATAGGACGTGGCCGGGGACGAACCACTGGCCTTTCGCACTCAGACAGTGAGCGAGTATTGTTTTACACCGCTTTTAGCATTATTCCAGCAATATCACGGCGGGGGGCACAAGAAATGGGCTTAATTTTACATTGTACCCATTTGGAGAATCGACCCCGGGTCTTCAGCGTGACGAGCGAACGCTTTAACCATTAGGCTTCCCCACCGCCCCTGTATCCACTAGAACTGCAGCCGGTAAGAGTTCCTCCCGTTCCCCCATCCCAAATAATATTTATAAATATACTAAAATTATTAACAAAACTTAACAACAATTACTAGAGGACTCACAAGGACTAAAAGTCCAAAAGTTAGGTTTAGAGTTAGGTTTAGACTGACTGAGTTTGGTTTTAGGCCGCTTTTAGCAATATTCCAGCAACATCACGGCGGGGGACACAAGAAATGGGCTTCACACATTGTACCCATGTAGGGATTCGAACCCGGGTCTTCGGCGTGACGAGCCAACGCTTTAACCATTAGGCTACCCCACCGCCCAAGTTATGTTTATTATTATTATTATTATTATTATTATTATTATTATAGGATATTCATATAGCGCACATATCCAGGCAACTAGTGCTCGCTGATATTTTTTCCCTCGATCATTGGATGTCAATCTCAATGGCACATCGTATTATCAATCTCAACTCCCTGGGGAGTATAGGTTTAGGGTTGGGGGAACGGAAGGAACTCTTTCCCAGGCTGCTGTAAGCATGGGATACCGTGACCATGTTCTAGCGTTGGCTTTCAACAGGGTGTGGAGAGTATGTTTCAATAGTGTCTGCATGAGTGGATAGTTCAATAGGGTCTGCATGAGTGGATAGTTCAATAGGGTCTGCATGAGTGGATAGTCCAATAGGGTCTGCATGAGTGGATAGTCCAATAGGGTCTGCATGAGTGGATAGTTCAATAGGGTCTGCATGAGTGGATAGTTCAATAGGGTCTGCATGAGTGGATAGTTCAATAGGGTCTGCATGAGTGGATAGTCCAATAGTGTCTGCATGAGTGGGTCCAATAGTGTCAATAGTGGATAGTCCAATAGGGTCTGCATGAGTGGATAGTTCAATAGGGTCTGCATGAGTGGATAGTGTCTGCATGAGTGGATAGTTCAATAGTGTCTGCTTGAGTGGATAGTTCAATAGTGTCTGCATGAGTGGATAGTTCAATAGGGTCTGCATGAGTGGATAGTTCAATGGGGTCTGCATGAGTGGATAGTTCAATAGTGTCTGCATGAGTGGATATCCAATAGCGTCTGCATGAGTGGATAGTTCAATGGGGTCTGCATGAGTGGATAGTCCAATAGTGTCTGCATGAGTGGATATCCAATAGGGTCTGCATGAGTGGATAGTCCAATAGTGTCTGCATGAGTGGATAGTCCAATAGTGTCTGCATGAGTGGATATCCAATAGGGTCTGCATGAGTGGATAGTTCAATAATGTCTGCATGAGTGGATAGTTCAATAGTGTCTGCATGAGTGGATAGTACATAAAGGTTAACTTGCAAGTTGCAATAAAACCTTCCATTCATAATTGTGTATTGAACCATTCATAATGATAGTCATCACAAAACGCCCACTACATGCATTTATAGCCCTGACATATCGATAAAACACTAGGCACAAATACGATTTATTATTAAACACGCAACCCAGGAAGCGGAAAATCGCGGATGGCATTTCGGTAAGATCCTGCAATCATGAGCGTTTTTACGCCGCTTCTAGCAATAGTCCAGGTAGAAATGATGTACCCATTTGTGGAATCGGGGAGAGACATTCGACCATTACGCTACCCAACCGCCCCGCAGTGATGTACTTCATGTATACTCTTCAAAAACAGTAGGGGAACCTGAACTCTCAAGATGGATAGGAAGTAAAAACGTTAACAAACTTTGCAAAGACAGACATCTTATGAACGCACGCACTTTCTCTTTATCACCATCGGCGGTGGGGTAGCTCGTCACGCCGAAGACCCGGGTTCGAATCCCCATATGGGTACAATGTGTGAAGCCCATTTCTGGTGTCCCCCGCCGTGATGTTGCTGGAATATTGCTAAAAGCTGCGTAAAACCAAACTCAGTCAGTCAGTTTATCACCATCCCCTAAACAACGCGTGGGATGCACGTGCACAACGCAGTAGACCCATGCACGTGCATGAGGCGTCATTTTTTTTATTTTGACGGTTTTCAAGAAGGTCGATAAATCACTGTACACCATTAATTTTTACAATCATCTTGCATCACACTGTTGTTTGTTTCTAGCCGCTTTCTTGTTTGGAAATGAAAATCGTACACATGCAAATTTCACGTCAAACACCAATCATCTTTCAAGAGCGATTACTGTACAAACAACTATGGTCATAAGGAAGTGCAAGTGGTGATGCACTCTCAAAGCATTCATTATTATCATAACACTGATTGACTCAGATGCTTTTTTCAATCGTAAATTAAAAATGAAGTTCCCCTACTTCTTTTTAAGAGTCATTGTTTACAGTTTTGTTCATCGCAAATCGAAATCGCGTACCCGTATCTTGCACTTCGACTTTAGTAGAGAAATCAGTTCGTAATATTATATATCGTATATTAAGGGAATATAATCATGAATCTTAAACAAGAACATTTACTTGTTTAAAAAAAAATAATAGTACAACTTCAGAAAGTCTCTGACGAGTGATCAACATGAACCTTGTAACACCCTCATCCCAGAATAGAACCATGGTCCTAAATCTTCCCTCTACTTCAATAAATCTCATTAATGCACACAAATATCTACAAATCGCATGCAGTCTAACGTAATGTATACTTTATATCAATTACGCCGTAATCAATGTTCTGGTTTTACACAGATCGGACCTCACACAGAATCGGTGTTTTTAGCGTCTTGGGGGTTTTAACACAAAAGCCAGAGGTTGACAAATTCTTCGATCCCCACAAATTCGAAAGGACAAATAATCTGTTACTGTCAAACTTGATGTGAGAATTGCTCTCTATTCTTTCTGTAGGAATACAAGGGTAGTTATTAAGCTATCAGACCATCATGGGATTTGGATAAGTTTGTATTTCTGTATGCTATACACACTACACACCATTTGGAGCCAAAGTCAAACTTGTTGCCATGAAAACTAAGAAAATATAGATTCTAAAAATCCCTAAATAGGTAAAGGCAACCTTGCGTCTTTCAAGAATGAATACGTATGAGTTTTTAAGAGATATTGCCCGAACAGCCAAACTTACGTGGGAATATTCAACATTCTTAAACAGGAAACGGCACCCCCACCCCCACCCCCACCCCCAGATTAATACATGCTACAAGTTTAAATGAAAAATGTTGAATCCTTTTTTAGTTCTAGAAATTCAGAAAACGAAAAAAGAGCCACCAAATCCGCAATACCACTTCAGGATATGTTTGATATATCTGCTAATTTCTATAGAAAAATATTGAGGCATTCGAGCTGCGTTCTGATGGTCAAACAGACGAGGAGTCGACTATTGTTCTTTCCCGGTACGACTGGACACCTCTTCCAGAGGAAATGAAGACGCCTACAGAATACCAACACATTGTACCCGTGTGGGGAATCGAACCCGGGCATTCGGCATGACGAGTAATAATTAAAGCTTAACCACTAGGCATCATCGTCGACTATCTCGTGGTGCTACGTTGATGAAGTCGTGTCCAAAGTCGGGACAACTCTGCCATACCTTGCCGCTAATGCTAGTAGTTCCCCAACTTTACGTCTACCGGTAGCGTTATGTGTCGCATTATATCACTTGACATCCCACATCCTTAAGGCACAATGTCACATGTCGGACAATATTTTGGCCTATATTATATATATTTGGGCATATGCACTCACTTTAGCTTCCTACTGATGATAAAGGACTTATTATCCCTTACGACTTGCCTGAAATCGATTATTGAAACTTCGAGGCGAACAGCTTCCAAACAGAGAACACTTGCCATGTATGGAATGTAAACAATTGCTCCGTACATCGAAAACTGTCGCACGCGGTGTTGTCAGTGTTGGCCAAACTGGTTTCAATCACAAGTTGTGCGTAGGATGTTCGTAAAGAGCGCTCCAAGGGACATAACTGTGGGGTTCGCTTGAAACAATATTCGGCTGGTAGAGGGCGCGAGAGTCGATTTAATGCGACGTTGCATTAATTCATTCTAACTTTTTAATTTAATACTGTAATCTAATACGTATATTTTGGGGAATAAATTACACGGTATCTTTCCCGAGGGCTGATAGTATTATTGAGAGAAATGCATTAGGTATCGTGTGACCTTGTGTCTCTAACGGAAAGAAAAGGAATAATGAAAAATGTCAGTGTCATCACAATTAACCATCAAAGCTACTTTATTTTCAAAGAATAACGGTGACTACTTTCCAACCACAGCATATTCATCCGCAATATACTTAACCACCTTTTTGTTTCTATACTGCTCTTAAGCTTGGTGAAGAGGTTTTTGTTAATACGAAAATATCTGGAGCAACAAAGATGTAATATGACCGAGCGTACCGAGACTTTCAATTATAGTTTGGCATGAAATGCATGTGGACCCGGTTTTTTGTAAATATCTCTTCATCCAATGACCCAATCGATCTCAAACTGTGCAAGTGGATGTTTTGTTAGACAACCTAATCACATTATAAATCACCGATTTTATGCATTTGTATTAAAGAATCTGTCTATGTAACTGTCAACAAAATAAACAGCAGAACGCAGAATGCTTGCAGAGGGAGGGAGCCAATGACCTCTAACAGCGGCAGTGTTGGGTCATAAAGGTCAACGTTCGTCAATGTAGATCAGCTATGCACGTGACAGGTATGAAGAGGTGTCACAGGTCGTGAATAGGGTCAGGTGGGTGCCAACTGTTAACCATCATACGGAGTTTGTTTCTCTGAGTTGTTCAACATTAACCACAAAACCCATTAGTGAGAATTATTCTGTAGGTTTAAATCTTTAAATTGTGCAAATAGCCGGCGAATGACATCTCTGATGACCCTGATGTCAAAATCTAACTTTGGATGCCTACCTTTTTGTACCAGGTTTTGTTTATTGGTTGTTGGTTTATTTTTCAAAATTTTAGCACGATGTTTTTTTTCATGCCAAGAGCAAAAGTTGTACGTTTCATGTAATCCGACACCTTATCAATCGGTTCGCTACGTTTGCTCTCTTTTTAAAAAAAATTCAACACATTTCTAATTAAACGGTTAGCATCATCTGAATAAGCTTTCATGATGACCGCTAGAAGTAGTCAATGTGAATGATCCAAACGGTCTATCACTGTGCAGTGGACAGGTAACTATCATGAACTGCACGTGCATAGGTGATTTACAATGTGATTAGGTTGTCTGACAAAACATCCACTTGTACAGTTTGAGATCGATTGGGTCATTGGATGAAGAGATATCTACAAAAAAACCGGGTCCACATGCATTTCATGCCAAACTATAGATATACAAGTGAGTGAATATAATTTTACGCTGCTTTTAGCAATATTCCAGCAATATCACAAACCGGAGCACCAGAAATGAGCTTCCCACATTGTACCTTTTGATATACAAAATAAGAAATCGTTTGAAATATTCTCACAAAATAACGCACGACTGAACAACTGATTACGGAATGAGGAAACTGCGGGCCTTAGCAACAGGTTCAGATTAACGTTAAACGCTGCTTTGGGCAATAACCTTGAAATACGTCAAGTGTGTGTGTTTTTTCCTAAAATCAAACAAAAACATCAAAATATGTCGCGGGTTGTACATATGTAACCCACAGCCTGAACAACAGTGTATTCTTCTCACCACCCTCCTCAATTGCGTGGCTGCTATTGAATATAATTGTTTTATTATGTTTTAAAACGTGACTTAGAAATTGTGTGTATCAAGCAGAACTTGCAGTAAGCTTATCGATCAATTATTTCAGTTGAGTTGGGTGTTGGTAATATAAAATGAAAACGCTTACAAATCCGAGAATGGCAGCCAGGTAGAAATTGTGTGTATCAAGCAGAACTTGCAGTAAGCTTATCGATCAATTATTTCAGTTGAGTTGGGTGTTGGTAATATAAAATGAAAACGCTTACAAATCCGAGAATGGCAGCCAGGTAGAAATTGTGTGTATCAAGCAGAACTTGCAGTAAGCTTATCGATCAATTATTTCAGTTGAGTTGGGTGTTGGTAATATAAAATGAAAACGCTTACAAATCCGAGAATGGCAGCCAGGTAGAAATTGTGTGTATCAAGCAGAACTTGCAGTAAGCTTATCGATCAATTATTTCAGTTGAGTTGGGTGTTGGTAATATAAAATGAAAACGCTTACAAATCCGAGAATGGCAGCCAGGTAGAAATTGTGTGTATCAAGCAGAACTTGCAGTAAGCTTATCGATCAATTATTTCAGTTGAGTTGGGTGTTGGTAATATAAAATGAAAACGCTTACAAATCCGAGAATGGCAGCCAGGTAGAAATTGTGTGTATCAAGCAGAACTTGCAGTAAGCTTATCGATCAATTATTTCAGTTGAGTTGGGTGTTGGTAATATAAAATGAAAACGCTTACAAATCCGAGAATGGCAGCCAGGTAGAAATTGTGTGTATCAAGCAGAACTTGCAGTAAGCTTATCGATCAATTATTTCAGTTGAGTTGGGTGTTGGTAATATAAAATGAAAACGCTTACAAATCCGAGAATGGCAGCCAGGTAGATGTACCAGAGAACCATCCTGAAACGATAAATATTAACATTGTCAGTATATTGACTGTAAATAAGCAACGAAACTACACTAGACTGCTTTATGATCCATTTTAGAAATATCAACCAAACAAGAAGTGTAGTTGACTTTATGAAACTGATGTTCAATTGTTTGAAAACACACACACATATGTCAACACTCACCTGCGACCTGCGACCTACAACTGCACTGAGCTCTCCTTCACGTCACGTGCTCTTTGCCGCAATAGAATCACGTGCTTCACGTGGGTACGTCATAATAGGACAGCCCTTAAAGGCGCTCTATTGTATTTCCAAGTTGTAATGAGTGGGTAAGTTTTACGCCGATTTTAGCAATATTCCAGCAATATCACGGCGCGGCACACCAGAAATGGGTTTCACACATTTTGCCCATGTGTGGAATCGAACTCGGGTTTCGGTGTGACGAGTGAACGCCTTAACCACAAGTCTACCCCCAACACCCCTTCAATTTTTAGTGTTATAGCGAAATATACGTCTAAGTTTTAAACGTTTACAAAGTTTGTGAAACTTAATCCCTCAATTACGTTTGGCGAAATCCCTGCCCTGCACGAGAAACAAAGGCATATATGCTTGTGTACTACTAGCGTCTCTAATGGCTGGCTCCACTCTATCCCATAATGGCTCACAAATTGAAACCCATTTGTGGTGTCCCCCGCGTGATATTGCTGGAATATTGCAAAAAGCGGCGTAAAACCAAACTCACTCACTCACACTCACAAATTGAAACCCATTTGTGGTGTCCTCGCCGTGATATTGCTGGAATATTGCAAAAAGCGGCGTAAAACCAAACTCACTCACTCACACTCACAAATTGAAACCCATTTGTGGTGTCCTCGCCGTGATATTGCTGGAATATGGCAAAAAGCGGCGTAAAACCAAACTCACTCACTCACACTCACAAATTGAAAACATGATGTTTGTTTCTTGTTTAAGGACACGCTCAATAACATTTGACGTGTGTGTTAATATTTGAGTCAATCCAGTGATTGACACGATGAGAATCAAGCTATGAAATTGTGGTACGGTGACATCCATCAATCATTTTGTTGGCTTTGGATTTTTTTTTTGTTTAACGCCGCTCTGAGCAATATTCCAGCTATGTGGCGGCGGTCTGTAAATAATCGAGTCTGGACCAGACTCTCCAGTGATCAACAGCATGAGCATCGAACTGCGCAGTTGGGATACGATGACATGTGTCAACTAAGTCAGCGGGCCTGACCACCCGATCCCGTTAGTCGCCACTTACGAAAAGCGTGTGTTGATAAAACCCAATTCTATCCCGGATCTTCACGTGTAACGTACTAGAATCCACACCTTACTGAATAAGTGTAATCCCAAATATAACATATGTTACATTTGATCACTTTCTTAATGAGAGTCTGTATTCATAGCCTTCGACCATGGGAGCCGTGCCAAGTTAAACTCGTCAGTGGGGTACACAAAGTACGCGATGTTGTCTACCAGTAGTCAGGCTTTTGTGAAGGCCGCGGTAGTCTGTTGGTTAGATCGTTGACTCTGTGCGCTGGAGAGTAGGTCCCTCACTCTGAGAATGTGGTTTCAAATCTCAGATGCGACTTAATTAAAAAGATGTACTAAATTCTGTACTTTTCTCGAAGTTGTAAACCTGATTTAACATGTGTTACAACATAATAAGCATCAACATGTAAAGGCGCACGGGTGAGTGACAGCCTCAGTAGATGCATGTCAGGGCAATTAATGAAACGTTTGATGTCAGTTTATGAGCATCTTGCAGAAACTTTTAAATTTGATTTGTTTTTAATACGTTTTAAAACGATAATTTTCATTGCTTACCTAACATATGTCGGAAAGTTTTGAAACACTTCGAATTAATTCTAGATTTTATCTATTGGAGTTCATGTAAGGCACTGATCCCAACGTGAATTCTCAAATCGTGCTTATTCACAAAGATGTATCTTCTCTAACGAAGTTCGAGATGAATATATCTCGATTCCACCCTGCCAAATAGAGGCGCTACGCTTGTGATTGCATATATAACACGTTCCGGGAAACCAGGTTCGATTCCTAACGTGGTTTCAGTGTGTGAACGTCGTTGGTGGTGTCCCTCGTTGTCACGTGACTACTGACAACTGACATATGTCATATTTGGGATTACACTTTCTTAGTAAAGTACAGATTCTAGTACTTTTGTTGGGTTGAGTCCCATCCGGGATTCGAGCCACACCCTCCGAGTCCTAATCGCCAGCACACAAAGTCAGACGCCTAGACCGCTCAGCCACCGCGGCTTCCACAAAATGGAAGTCGGACAACTGGTAGTCTAGACTGCGGACTTTGTGTACCCCTCTGATAAGTGTTAATTGGCACGGCTCCCACGGCCGAAAGCTATGATTACACAATGCCATTTAGAAAGTTGTCAAATGTAACATATGTTATATTTGGGATTACACTTTCTTGGTCCCCGGATGGGACACAACCGATCAAAAGTACTAGAATCTGTACTTTACTAAGAAAGTGTAATCCCAAATATAACATATGTTACATTTGACCACTTTCTAAATGGCATTGTGTATTTCATACTGACAACTGAGGTAAAGGTATTTGCCGTTGCGCTCCTCTCAACTTTGGCCCCAGAGCATCTCTGCAACCCCATTCTATTTACAGGTGTGTGATCGGTCTACCACTGGTGGACTTGTTTTCGGTACCGAGTTCTTGGGTGCAAATGCATTATTTATTGACTGCGCGGCTCAGATCGCTGAAACATGACAAAGCAATACAAGAGGTATGTCTAAAAAAAACATCGGAACCCTGGTTCAGTTAGGTCAAACAAAATAACTACACAGACAGACACGTTTATTCCGCTTGTAAGCCTCGTACCTCCTGGAGCATTAAAAGACAATCGCGTGGAGTTTCAAGTTAAGAAGATGACGCTGGCAAACTGGCCTCGATTTCTCGAAACAAACAAAGTCTGAGTTTTGACTTAAGTTAGAGTTTTTACTCAAATTTGAGAAACGCTGGAAAATGCATTGCCCAGAATAAACTGAAATCGATATTACCATCAAACATAGTAGACAATTTGAGTTTGGTGGATAGATTACTTAAGTTGTTTGGGCTTTTTTATTTAAATAATGCAGTTGAGTTAAAAATTCAGCTGTTTCAAATTGTCAAACACAGTTTGAGATTTGAGTACAAACTTAAGTTTGTTTCGAGAAACCGGGCCCTGTTCTGATACGGGGATGGTGGATTTGGTGGTCAGGCTAAGTGACGTATTGATGATCTGTACTACAACGACGTTGATTGTTTTTTGACAATATCGATCTCTGGACTGTCCGGTCAAGATTATAATACATCGCTCAAGATGATAATACATACAGGGCGCTGTCCTGTCGCTTGAATATTACCCACTGCGCTTTTGAACAAAACAAACAAACAAGCTTAAAGAAGTGGTGGTGGTGAAATTGGGTTTAACGTCGTGCTTGAGAATATTTCGCTCATATGACGACGTGCATGCGTGTGTATGTGTATGTGCGGCTGCTTGTACTAGCCCAGACTGAAGCTGGTTTTATAGTGCTAGCTCACTGAGATACCATGCCGCAGTGAAGCATGAATACCCTACTCAGACACATTATACTGACTCCGAGCCGACCAGTCCTTGTTGTACCCATTAATGCCAAGCGCCAGGCAGGGACCAACAAGTACCATATTTTAACGTCTTTTGGTATGACGCGGTCGGGGATCGAACCCGCGCCCTTCCTCTCTCCGGGCGGACGCTCTAACCACTACACCATGGAGGTGGTCGCATAAAGAAGTAACATCAGTTGTGGTTTACTAGGTACACAGGTACATCGTTGTTTGATATGTAGCTACTGCAAGTCGGTTCAACTTGGATTTTAATTATAAATGGATTTTCATTTGGTCCAGTGCGTTACACCGTTGTTGAAGTTGTGTCACTTACAGTACACGGGATCCAGCACTCATTTGAACATTTTTAAAGAACTTCACACTGGCTGGAGCAAATGATTTATATACTTGTAGCATAAACTATATATTGTACGAATAAAGAATACAAAAGCCCTCTTGGCAAGAGCGTTTGATGATATGGAGATGATGTACATCTAAAAAAGTAAAGAAAGGAATATTATATTTAACATGACCGAATAGGTGTCTTCTTATGTTCAAGAATAGGGGCACGAATTGTCGATCAGTCTCATTAGCCAGATTTCGTTTGCTTAGTTGTCCCCTGAACTCGTCCACCAGAAATATATGATTGTGGGTTCGAATCTCATACCGTCCCGAATAATTTATGTTTCACGGTTTGTCGGCACTAAACCCATGGGTTTTCACTATGGTGGTAAACACCCGTGATATGCTGGAATATTGCTAAAACTAAGCGGCGTAAAACTAAACTCACTCTCTTGGGCGGCGTCAATACCCAACTCACTCACCCACTCCTACTCAAATGCCAAATAAATTTCATCGAGAATCGACATCTATGATACACAGCTGATCTGAAACCGATGGAAGCGCCGCAAAATGTCTCTACCGCCCGCTGAGCTGAAGTGACTTCACCCTTGAACACTAACAGGTTCCCGCAGTAACTGATATGTAACGGACAAGAAATATTATATAAATGATAAAAATACCCATAAGAAATATTCAGAGTAATAAACAGTGTTTAATTACCACGTATCTTCAACACTTGTCTAGTGTGTTGGCTGGGTAACTTCTAAGAATTGGGGGTTTTCGTTTTGGAGAGGAATGGAACACTGGCTTGTGTTTGTGTGGTGTCGTGAAGTGGTGGCGGGTGTGCTTGTCGTGTAGGGGAGAGGGATAAACCCGTCATGTATCGGGTTGCAGCAGCGATGATGTCTAAAATGTAAATTACCTATAAGCTCATGTAAGCCCTCTAAACCGGCAGCCCTCCAATATCGGCACTAGAATTTGGTCCCGACAGAAACCAGTTAATTTATTATCATTACACGCCCTCTAATCCGGCGCCAGTAATTGGCGCTCTCTAAACCGGCATCCGGTATCTCGGCTCTCCTGTTCATTGGCTGAACGTGTATTAACAACACCGTCGATTGCTATCGTCATTGAGCTCATTGATCTTGCCTGATAAAAGGAGTAAGGATAAGGATTAGGCCTGAGTAGGCGAGGTAAATTGGTGGGTGACACGTGTCACTTGTATTATAAATTGTCGTGTAAATGAAACCAGTAAATTTGACAAAATTA